ATGTATATTACAATATAATATATAAAATGGCTTTATTTTAAGTATACTGCACTATTTTGCCATGTGCTGCTGTCCTTTGAATTTTCTTTCCTGAGTCAGTGCAGCAGCAGGGACAAATCCCATCCCTAATCAGGCACATTTTTTTAAATCAAGATTGCAGCCATGACTATGATCCATATGGATCTTTCTAACTGTCCCCTCACCTCCCCTTTGCAATCCCCATGCCCCTTCTGCTAGAGGCTGAGCTTGGAGAAGTGCCCTGGGATATAGATTTGAAGCAGAAGGTATTTAGACAGCAAAGTCTCACTGAGAGAGACATTCTAGACATGCCTACTTTGGATGATTACTTTAGAGAGCAAAATGTTGAAGTCATTGGGTAGTTTGGATAGTATGAGAAAAACAAAAGAGAAAAATGTTCTGCAATGTCTTTTTTTTCAGCCCACTTTTGTGTTTAAAAGAAACAATTATCCACCTCACTCCAGAAAGATCACCTGCTTGCCTATTGTATTGACAATGATGGTGCTTCATAGATAAACACGCACATTTAAATATTATTATTTAATAGTATTTCCTATTTTACATAGAGGGCTATCTTACTGGCTTCAAAGTTTGAAGAAGCAGTACAGGAAGAGTATATACACTTTTGAATTTTGGTGTTGGAGAAGACTCCTGAGAATACTGTGGACAGCCAAGAAAACAAACCAATAGATCATTGAACAAATCAACCCATGAGTTCTCACTTGAGGCACAAATAACTAGGCTCAAATTATCCTACTTCAGGCACATTATGTAAAAACCTAACTCTTTACAAAATGTTGGGAAACATGGAAGCAAAAAGAAGAGGATGACCAGCAGCAAGGACCCACTGTACCATTGGAAAACCTAAAAGACCAATTTAGGTACAAATCAATATGGAGAAAATCTATTTAAGTGACTACTAAGAGTCCATACTGACTTTATAGCACATAATCATATCAAATCTAATTTCATGCACAGCAGGGAAGCAGTTCAAATTACTCTGTAGCCTTCGGCATCTTAATTCTACTCTTAATTAAAGAAGAAGCTGTTTTCTGGACACTATATGGAGTAGGTGATATTTTGCAGAAATATTTATGGATCAAAAGGGGAATACAGAAAATCATTACCTCCATGTCTTCTTTAACTTGTTCTTGCTGATCTCTTAATTCTCCAAATGCATCAATAATCAAGCCTGGCAATAAGGTTATAATTTAAACTTTTGAGGAACTAGGACAAAAACTGCCAAATTGACAAATTAATGCTAAATATGAAGATTCATGCTTTACCACAAAGTGCCATGCACCTTTAAATATATTTGGTGGAGATTTTCAAATACAAATAGCCAGATAGTATGCTGCAAACAATTAGATACAGTATTCACAGCTTTACTGAACAACCTTGTACCAACCATTTTTTTGTGATATACACTGAGTTTTGAAAGCAGTTGCAAACGGTCATGTGTATTTTGGTGTATTATTATGCATACACAGTTTCCCCCATTTTAAGAGGCCACTTGTCATCCATGATAAATGGGAAACTTTCTGTAGACCTTGAGAAGGTTGGGTATAAATTGGAATACAGATGAGGAAAAGTGCACTTCTTGAGAGATTTGGTGGCAGATTTCATGACACTCAAAGAACAAAAGAAAATTCTGTCCTGTTTCAATAATTAAGGAGTTGCAGCATTCTATCTAGCAGTCTGGCAGTATTCCCCAAAATTGCAAGAATGGCCCAATGGGAATCATCCTTACATTATGATCAAGTCTTCCCAAAGGGAACATTTGAAAGGGGAGGGAGGATTGTGAAGGAAAGCCTTTGCTACTTTATTTATAATGGTACTGACTACCTTACCAAACTGTAGAGGGGGGGAGGAGAACCCAGGTCAGCTGATCTGATACATGAAATTACAAAAATCTCTAGCCTGAAACCCAGTAATAATTTCAAAATAGACTTATTACCTATGTTTATTCAACATTTACTGTAAGAAAAAAAGAGGACTCCTCACAGATGGTCTTGTTTGTCATTTAAATCAAAGTTTCTTGATACAATTAATTAATAATTAGAGAGAGTGTGTCTATGCATGTGTGTATGCTTATGTATATCTGTGTGCCTATGTATGTGTACCCCTTTTCAATGTCATCGCTTCCTTGCTGTCAACAAGACTTTTTACACAGAAAGTAAACATTGCAGTTGCTAAAGGATACACCATATGATAAAAATCTTATTAGTGGTATGGCTCAAAATCAAGCTTGAACAATGCAGAGGATAATAAAATTAAAGGCAAATTCATTTTTTTAAGTAAACTTTGCTTTTCTAATAATTTGCATGCAGAAGTGAAACTTTACATAGACAGAATCTGAGCAAAAGAAGATAGAAATATAGAAAATCTTTATGTTTCTTCCACAAGAGAAAAGAACCAGTCTTCCCCATTTTAAGAAATTTGACTTAGAATGTATTCCTTCCATTTTATATTTCTATTCAATGCCTTTTTTTGGGGGGGGGGGATCTGCTTCAAAAGAGATTGAGTAAAGGACT